CCACTAGGACCTTATTTTGGCTCACCGCCGCAAATGATAAGAAAGAAGCTCCTCACCGTTTTGAGTGAGAGTGGGAAAACCACTTCTATCGTCGACAATGTCAACATCGTGAAGCGATATGCTTCTGATTCATCAAATTCAATTCCAGTTTTTTCGGACGACGAAGCACTTTCAAAATCCATGAAGGAGGTAAAAACATTTTGAATACATCCATGCTTTGCGCATTTTTTCGCCATATTCCTAAAAGTTTAGTACATGTGTATTATATATGCTTCTAGGTAAAGAACACGCAGTCACAATTCGTTTGGACACAGTTCTCAGAATTGAATAAACATTTCGAGGAGAGAGCGGGTGATCCACAGAAACTAAATTCCAGACTAGCAGAGATGATCGCACTTCTTACATGTAACAACTCCGGCCTCAAGAAATGCCGGAAAAGCAATGTTTCACTTGAAACGAAGGAAATCTTAAAGAAAATGGATGAGAGAGTCCAAGCGCTTTACGCTACCTTACCCACTAATGCAATGTTTATAGTTTGCACCGGACATGGAGACACATCCATTGTACACAGGTTTGTAGCACTCTAATTCAAATCTTAAGTGTTTTACACAAATATCTACAGAATTTGGAGAACGAATCTCTTGCCAGTTTTGCGATCTGATTGGATTTCTTACTGTCTGTTTGTTTCTTGCTGGCGGTTGATGAAGTGTACTACAAATGCTTAAAGATAAGAATGAAATTGGGTTTTGCCGCGAGAACGTTGTGAAGGCTCTTGAAGAGCTTCAAGCACAAGCCGAAGTAGCTCTCTGTTTTGTAGGCATCAAGCAATAAAGCAAACTCAGACGCCAAAATTTTCCCTGTATACCTTATGAGCACGCAACAGACATTTGCTCTTGAGTATTTTTTTTTGGTTTGTAACGTTTGTAGGTCTTTCTATTTATGGCCATTTTCATATTCCATGAGATTTGGTGGGTATCATTAGATATAAAATTTTTAAAACACACATTCTCTCTTCCTTTTACTCAA